GGACCGCGCTGACGCTCTCCGCGGCCCAGGCGTTCAGATCACCCCTCTGCGTCGGACCCCGCGCGGTGCCCTCCTCTCAGTGGTGTCCCGGGCCCCGAACCCAAGCAGTGCGCAGAGTCCCGGCGCACCAGGTTCTAGAGCAGCAGCTGACGCAAGCCCCGGGGGCGCGCGCGGACGTGACGCTTGGACACGTGTGCGGCCGCCCAGGCGCGCGGGGACTGGCAGAGCCACCCTGCGCCGGGGCGCGGGCTCCGCCCGGCTCCAGCTGGCAGCGCAGGGGGCCGCCTAGCGCGGGCGCTTCCTGCTCGGTGCTGGCCCTGCCTGCGCCAGTGAGCATGCCCGACTCGGGCTGCCGCGCCGGGTCGCCTTTTCCAAGTTGGGGAGGAGGCCGCCTAGGGGGAAGGCGTCGCCGAAGTCCTCTGGCCACACCCCAGAGAGCCACGCTGACTCGTCCCCCTGGCTCAATCCATTAGAGCAACTTCAAGAAAAGAGGGGGCGTGACGATGAGTTGGACGGGACCCGAGCGGGCTGGGGCGGGGCGCAGGCCGCTCCGAACAGGTCGGAAAAAACCGAGAGGTTTCTCCTCCCGGATGAGTCACCAGCGCGCGGAGGAGGCGTGCGACGCGGCCAGCGGGGTTCATCTGGACGCGGGGTCAGGACGAAGAGCTTGGGGAGAAAGGAGGGCGAGGACTCGGGTTGGCTCAGCAGGCACCGAACCTAGCTCTCGGGCTGGGACCACTCCTCGGTCCTGCGCCAGGACGTAGAAAATAGCTGATCTAGTCCTTCATTCCGCCCTGGCGGAAGATTCGTTGGATGGAGAGTGGCGGACTTGCAGAGCAGGCCCGGGAGGGCGTTCGGACAGCGGTGGCTAGGAGAGTCGGGGATTACCTAAGCAGACCAGAGATGTGCGTTGGGTCGGGAAGCCCAGACGACAGTGGGGTGACCCTCGGGTAGTCCTCATCACGGAAACCCCGCTGAAGATGAAGCAAGCCGTAGGCACACCCAGCGGAAGCGCTGTAGAGCTCATGCTAGACCCGAGTGAACCACGTGCTGATGGGATGTTTCTTGTTCTCCCAGTTAAATAGCTTTTCCGCGGACGTTGCTTGAACCAGCTACACTGGGATTGGGGAAGGGGCTACCTAGATATTTTTTTGTAGAGACAGGGGTAAGCAAATCCTGTTAATTAGGAAGGGTGAGAGATGGTACCGTCACACCATCTGTGTGAGATGGGTAAGTTCTTTAACTTCTCTGGGTCACAATGTCCTCATCTATAAAAGTGGAATAAGTACCATATGTATTTTTAATTTTTTATTTATTCATTTATTTATTTTTCAATTTGACAGAGAGCGACACAGAGACAGAGAGAAAGAGGGGAAATGAGAAAGCAAGTCACCAGGTCCAGGACTTGAACCATAGTCAGCCATGTGGGAGTGTCCAGCACCTTAACCACTATGCCACCTGCTGGTCCCAGTACCATATGTATTTTATAGGTGGGATAATGAGGGTTAATTGAGTTTGATATATGTCAAGGTCTTAGAGCCTTACCCACTCTAAGTGTTGTTTAAACGTTATTTTTAAATTCTTAATTTTTAAAAGGTTTTTGCCGTAGGGTGCGTGCACTGGCCAGAGTGAGAGGGAAAGTGAGAAATCACCCCCCAGGGGGATGGCCACATGCAATCTCTTCTCCTCCATTCTCCTCCTGGGATTTTGGGCATACTATCACATGCCAGGCTTTTAAGCCATCAGGTCCAGGATTCGAATCATAGTCAGCCATGTAGGAGTCCAGCCATGTAGGAGTCCAGCACGGTAACCACTACACCAACTACCACCACAAATGTATCTCCGGGGGAGGGTCAGCAGGTGGTGTAGTGGTTAAGGCACTGGACTTTCTCACGGCTGACTGCGGTTGGAGCCCTGGACCTGGCGGCTTGATAGTCACTGTTGGCCCTTCATGCCCAGAATTCTAGGAGAACAGAGGAGAAGGGATTGCAGCCTGGCAGTTGGGGTAGGAGGCGATTTCTCATTCTCATTTTTCTCTCTCTGGTGAGTGCACATGGCCTATGGCAAAAACCTTTTAAAAAAAGTTATTTTAAAAATATTATTAATGAATATTTAATATTGATGTTAGTGAATATCAATGAATAAAATCTTTCTAAGAATTACACTGCTGGAGCCCAGAAGAAATAAAGTTTAATACACACACACACACACACACACACACACACACACACATATATATTAAAGAATTATTTAACTTTATTGATTTATTTTAATTTGACCAGAAAGGGGGGGACAAAGTGAGAGAGAGAGAAAGCAAGTGCCAGGTCTGGGACTTGAACTACCATTGGCCATATGGGAGTCCAGCACCTTTAACCACCACGCCATCTGCCGGCCCCAAAATACAGTTTAATGTTGTAACAGGTGTCCAGAAAGATTACATGCATGGAATTGGTTGACCTAAGTTGGCGGATGTCATTCACTCATCCAGTAAACGTTCCCTCAGCGTTTCCTTACACTCCGCGCCAGCCACGACTGGGGCTCTGAGGGCAGCTCTCAGGTGACGTTCTGTTGGGTCATCGGAAGTCATGACACAGTTTTGCATAGAAAAATACATCCTGACTTTTCAGACGACCCAATAGTAAGGAAGCAACACCAATATCCATACACTCCTGGGAGAGGATTTCGGGTTCAGAGGGGAGCACATGGGCGGCTAGACATGGCACAGAGGCTGCATCCCAGAGTGCCCTGGGGGTGGCGCGACATGAAGCTAGCATGCAGGGACCTCTGTTAACCTGATAAGGGAGAGCCTCTGGAGGTTTATTTATTTATTTATTTATTTATTTATTGTCTATTTTTTTGGAGAGATTTTCGCTATAGGGCGCGTGCGCTCACCAGACAGACAGAGAGAGACATAGAGACAGAAAGCGAGAAATCACCCCCCAGGGGGGATGGTCACGCCGCAATCCCTTCTCCTCCATTCTCCTCTCGGGATCTTGGGCACGCACGCACACGTGCCCGGCGTGAGTTTTAAGCCACTGGGTCCGGGACGTGAACCGCGGTCGACTACGTGGGAGTCCAGCGACATAGCCATTACACTAACTACTGGTTCCCCCTCTGGAGGTTTTTGAGAAATTTGGTATCATGGCTGCATATGAGTTTTTGGATGGGGGGAATATAAAGTATTAATAACTAATATTTATTGAACACCCATTATATTTTGGGTATGCATTTTTCTTTTTTTGGAGAGGTTTTTGCTATAGGGCGCATGCGCTTGCCAGAAAGAGAGAGACAGACAGAAAGCGAGAAATCACCCCCGAGGGGTGATGGCCATGCCACAATCCCTTCTCCACTCTCCTCTCGGGATCTTGGGCACTCACACACGTACCCAGCATGAGTTTAAGCTACCAGGTCTGGGACTTGAACCGCGGTCAACTACATGGGAGTCCAGCGACATAGCCATTACGCCAACTGCTGGTCCCAGGCATGAATTTTTTTAAAGTGCCAGAGGACATGCATGCTTGCCAGAGAGAGAGAGAGAGAGAGAGAGAGAGAGAGAGAGAAAGCACCCCCCACCATGGGGTGACATTGCAATTGCAATCCCCTTGCCATTTCTTTCCATCCTGTTGGGATTTTTGAAGGTGATGTTTTTCAAGCTGCCAGGTTCGAGATTTGAACTGTGGCCAACCATGTGGGGTCAGGCTTCCTTCACCACTAGGCTATAGGGCCAGCCCATGAGTGGTTTTTAAGTATTCTTCAAACAACCCTACACAGTGGTTCCTTCAGTAGAAACCATCTCTAATTTACGGTTGTGGAAACTGAGGCATATGAAGGGCAATGTGCTTCAGCTCATCGTCAGGAAATGTCAGAACCTGCTCCAGAGCTGCCCTCTGGGCTGCTAGCCTGTGCCACTCCTCCACGGTGCCTGACTCCTACTTCTCTGGGTTAGGAGCTAAGGTTAGCACACTCACCGGAGTGAGAAAACAGTTGCACCACCTGTAGTACAGCACTGAATTCTGTGGGCACACTATGCATGCATCTTTTTTTCCTTAGCTGGTCTTGAGAGAAAAATTAACTCATACCCTGTTTATTTCATTTCCCCCTTCTTCTGGCTTAAAGAACATAATAGTGATGACAGAGAAAAAGATATCACCCCCGGTTTCACTTTTATTGGAGAAAATGTATTATTTTCCACTCCTAATTGAAAACCCAGGCCACTGGAATTTATTGCCGGGATGTATTTTCTCTCATTCCACCTCCGGCCTGTCAGTGCAGGTGGCTCTGGTTCTCAGGGCTGCCTTCTCCAGTGCAGAAGAGGAGTCCTCCCTTGCCCTGTTGACATGAGCCTTCCGTGTTCTGGCCGGATTGGCCCTAGTCATTCAGAAGGCAATTTGGTATGGGAGGTGTTGAAACAGGACAGCAGAAACAATTCTCTATAGAGACAATTGGTTTTATTTTTCTAAAAATACAAGTAACCCATCTGTTCACCCTGGCAGATGCCTTCCTGGGTACAGAGAAATTTCTTCTTCCTCTTTCTCATCGTTGCACTCTTGATTCGGTCATCCAGGGTGATTAAAAAACGAACCTACAAAACTCTGGGCAGTTGCTGAAAGAAGGCAGGGGGAGAGTGGACAGGCCGGCTGAGCCACAGCACTGACCTTTCCAGGCTGACAGGCTGGTCTTTCCAGTCCTTTCTTCCTCCTTCCATGGGGCTTTGGAATCAGAGAAGGGTGGCCTTTGCACCTTGGGCATTGTGAGCTAGCGCCTCCTCTGTCAGGAGGGCAGCCGGCTCGTAGGTCTCACTTAGTGGGTACCGGAAATATGTACTGCGTTGAATTGTCATGAGGATTATTTGCCCTTGGGAGTATAGCTGCTGTTTCTGGGCCACTGTTTAATGGGTGACTTTGTGACCTGGGGGTGGAGCCGGCCTTTTGCTGTCTTATTCATGACTCATTACCACATCTGTTACTCCTAGATGAGACGCTGGTCTCCTTTCCCCACCCCGAGTCCTGGCTTGCATGTGCCAAGCAGGACACCTCTCCTTACCCATCTCCTGCTCTGCGCTCTCTCTTAAGGACGTACACAGAGTAACCCTTTCTCTTCTTAAAATAGCAAGGTTGGTCTTGTCTAAGAAAAGAACAACTCACTAGGGTGAGCCCCTAGTCATACCTAAACTGCTCAGCCCAAGGAGAAATACTCCAGGCGGATAGAGACACTCTTGCCCTTCTTTCTGTAACTCACACGCTGTGGTTTTGCAAGTTGGATAGCTTCTGCAATCAGAGAAGTGGTATGCAACTGTGGAGCAGTGTGCTCGACCTTTTCTGTTTGGGTTTAGAGATGACTCAGGTGTGCACTGGCGCTTGCTGCGTGGAAATTTCTGAGTAGGGGAAAGCTTGTGGGAAATTTGGTGGTGACTACAAGGCCGCCTGATCATCATGGTGGGAATTTTTAGCTTTATAAAGTAGTTCTGTTTCTGGGGGTAATTTCTAGGTGCTGAAATTTGGTTTGAATAATTAGGGGTTATTTAATTTGTCTAGTTGAACAACCACCATGGACTCAGCACTGCACACAGTAGGTCTCTGTATCTGCATTGTTTTTGTGCCCATTTCTCTAGTGCTCAGCCCAAGCCAGGTACTGTCCTAAGCACTTCACATATTCTTCTTTTTTTTTTTTTTTAATGATTATTTCTTGGAGGGGGGGGGGCAGAGTTTTGCTATAGGGCACATGAGCTTGCCAGAGAGACAGAGACAGAAAGCAAGAAAGCAGAAATCACCCCCTGGGGGGATGGTCATGCCACAATCCCTTCTCCATTTTCCTCGGGTTTTAGGGTATGCACACACACGCGCCTGGAGTGAGTTTTAAGCTACTGGGTCCAGGACTCCAACCACAGTCGACTACGTGAGAGTCCAGTGATGAGACCATTACACCGTCTGCTGGTTCCATCCCAATGTGTTTTACAGGGTAGATGGTTACAGATGACAAAACTGAATCATACACAGGCTAGGTTCCTTGGAGTAAGCAAGGAAGAGAAGTATTTGCTATAGGGCATGTGCACTCACCTGAAAGTCAGAGACAGAAGGTGAGAAATCACCCCCCAGGGGAAATGGCCACACCTCAATTCCTCCTCCTCCACTCTCCTTTTGGGATTTTGGACACACAGACACATGGTGTGAGTTTTAAGCCGCCAGGTCTGAGACTTGAACCACGGTTGACTGTGTGAGGGTCCAGCGATGTAACCATTATGCCATTGGCTGGTCCCTGAGTAAGCAGGGCACCTAATGATCCTGCCTCCTGTGTTGTCCACTTCAGGACTCCCCTCCTTTGGGTGTGGACTGATCTTGCTTTAACTGGATAAAATATGGCCAATGTGATAGAATGTCACTCTGAGATCAAGTTACCAAAAGGACTGACTTCTGTCTTTGTTCTGTCCCTGTTTCTCTCACTTTCCGTCTTTGTCAGCTTAACCAGCTATGACAAAATACACTAAACTGGGTGTTTAAACAAGAAACACTTCTTTCTCACAGTTGTGGGAGGCTGGGAAGACAAAGATTGAGGAGCCACAGAGTTGGTGTCTAGTGAGGGCCTGCTTTCTGGGTCATAGGTGCCAGTCTTTTTGCATGTCCTCATTAGGAAGCAAGATCTCTCAGGACTCTTTTTTTTTTTTTTGAGGAGAGGTTTTTGCTATAGGGCGAGTGCACTCACCAGAAAGACAGAGAGAGACAGAGAGACAGAAAGTGCACTTCTGTCTTTGTTCTGTCCCTGTTTCTCTCACTTTCCGTCTTTGTCAGCTTAACCAGCTATGACAAAATACACTAAACTGGGTGTTTAAACAAGAAACACTTCTTTCTCACAGTTGTGGGAGGCTGGGAAGACAAAGATTGAGGAGCCACAGAGTTGGTGTCTAGTGAGGGCCTGCTTTCTGGGTCATAGGTGCCAGTCTTTTTGCATGTCCTCATTAGGAAGCAAGATCTCTCAGGACTCTTTTTTTTTTTTTTTTTAAGAGGTTTTTACTATAGGGTGCGTGTGCTTGCCAGAAAGACACAGAGAGACAGAAGGCAAGAAATCACTCCCTAGGGGGAATGGCCACACCACAATCCCTTCTCCTCCATTCTCCTCTCAGGATCTTGGGCACACACGCACACACACACACACACACACACACACTCCTGGTGTGAGTTTAAGCCACTGGGTCCAGGACTTGAACCGCAGTCAACTACATGGGAGTCCAGCTGCTGGTTCCTCTTAGGACTCTTATAAAGACATTGGTTCCATTTGTGAGGACCTCACCCTCATGACCTTGTCTCATTTTAATTATTAATACCTCCCAAAGAAAGTCTCCGCCTGCTACTCCTGCTAATTGATCACATTAGGGGATGGAGTTTCAACATTTGAACGGGGTAGGAGGCACGAGTGGTCAGTGTATAATTCTGTGAGCCCTCTCTGTAGATAAAGCCAGTTGCCATACTGGGAGTACCCTTATGCAAAGACCCAAGTGGCAAGAAATTGATATCTCTGGCTCACAGCCAACATGACCCCGGGCTGTCAACAATGAGTGAATTTGGAAGTAGATTCTTTCCCAGCTGAGCCTCGTGTTGGTTGTAGCCCTGGCCAACAATTGATTGCACTTTTGAGTCCCTGTGCTTGAAGACTCAGCTGAGCTGATACACAGAAACTACTAGCTAAAGAATGTTATTTTAAGTCATGAAGATTTGGGATAATTTGTTACACAGCAATGTATAACTGATACACTTGTCCAAGGTCAGAAAAGAACTGCAAAGTATCCTCGTTCTACTTTTTCCCCCTCTTGAATGAGTTTTATTATAATGCTATTTAAGTACTCAGAAACAAGTCCAAGAATAAAATTTTTTGATTATTATTGTATATAGTTATAAAAACAAAAAGAATACCTATAAAACCAGATTTTGTGTAATTTTAATTTAAATTTACATTCTTAAATGATATTTTAGTGTGATGGAACGTGTGTTAAAATATAGTTATTATTTAATATGGAAACATTAGTGTCTATGAGAAGGAAAATAAACTCTGTAAAGCTGTCCTATGAAATTCTCTGCATTTTGGAAAAGGTTTCTAAAACAAATTATATGAAAAATGGAAGTGACAGCCGAAAAAGTCCAAAATGATTTCATGTCTGTAAAAAGAACCATGTGAAACAAAACAATTATTTCTTTATTGGTATGCTAAAAAGAGCATAGAAAGGTCTAGAAGAAGACAGTAAACTGATGACAGTGGTTGTCTCTGGGGAAGGGAGTATGAATAAATATGGAGAAGACTTGACTTTCTATTTTCTATATATGTAGAGTTCCTTTTCTTTGTTCTCTCTTTTAACTTTTTCTTCTTGTGCAATGTGTTTCTTGTGTTATTAGAAAAAAAAAAACATTGTGGGTCAGCAGGTAGCATGGTGGTTAAAGGCTCTGGACTCCCCATGGCCGGCTGTGTTTCGAGTCCTAGACCTGGCGGTTTGCTTTCTCACTTTCCCAATTTCTCTCTCTTACTCTGTCCCTTTCTGGTCGAATTAAAATAAATAAATAAATAAAGTTAAACAAAATAATTCTTTAAAAAAAGAGAAAAGAAACATTGTCTTTGAGGTTGTTTTACTGTAGGATTTCTTTAGTTGTTGGGCGGAGTTAAAATGAGTGATATGTACAGGATCAGCTGGGTCAGCTGGTGGCGTGGTGCTTAGGCTGGCTGGATCCCATTATGGTCAACTGATGTGGTTCAAGTCCCAGACCCAGTGGCCTGACAAACATGTCTGGTGTGTGTGTGTGTGTGTGTGTGTGTGTGTGTGTGTGTGTGTGCCCCAGATCCTGAAAGAATGGGGAGATGGCAGAGATGGGATTGTGGTGGGACCAATTCCCCATGGTGGGGGGGAATGATTTCTCTCTCTCTCTCTCTCTCAGTGTCTCTCTCTAGTAAGCACAGGCCCCCTCTGACAAAAATTTAAGTAATTAAAAAAAACACTAAACCAGTCAGCGGAAGTGGGCTTTACACTGCTATGGAAAGGACCCGAAGCTTCAGTCAGGTGTTCGGGTCTGGGAGCTGACTTGCCGAAGCTGGCATTTTAAGAAGAGTAACTCAGTCGCCGTGCAGAGAACTTGGAGACACTGGACAGAAGCAAGCACACTGACTGGAGGGGCTGGTGCCCCAAGGAAGTCTGCTGAGTCAGACAGGAATTCAGCCCTGGGGAAGAGGGGAGGGTGGGGCTGGGAGCTGAGGGTGGCTCTCAGTCAGCTGACCCAGTGCAGAAATGTCTTCAGTCACTAGCTTCACATTTGGATGCCAAGAGTAAAATCAAGTCCAGGCTTGACTTCTTGGGGAGTCAGTGGCCAGAGGGGGAATAATGTTAACGACTGTGAATCCCCGTATAGTGCTTACAGAATATCAGGCACTCTTCCACACACGACGTACTTCATCCTCACAGAAACCCTATGCGACCTGTACACGAGCGCATTATCGTTATTCTTATTTTTAGATATGTGTTATGGGGCATATGCACGCTCTAGAAAGAAACAGAGAGAGCAAAGTGAGACGTCACCCACGGTGCAGGAGAAATGGCTGCACTGCAACCCCTTTTCCTCCCTCTCCTCTCGGGATCATGGGCATGCGTGCACACGTGCCTGGCATGATTTTCAAGCCAGTGGATCCAGTCAACCAAGTGGAAATTCAGTGCCTTAAGTACCACACCACCTCACCTGCTAGCCCCTATTATCTTTTTTTGTTTGTTTTAGTTTTTTTGTTTTTATTTATTTATTTATTTTGTTGCTATAAAGTGCTTGTGCTTGCCAGAGAGACAGACAGAGACACAGAGAGAGGAAAAGTGAGAAA